GAGAAAAGGACTGAGCGGAGGGTTAAACACACACCATAAGAGATGGAGGGATTCCAGAACAGAAAACGCTCAGAAGATGGGTGCGTGACAAGTGCCAGGCACCACAAAATTGCTGAGGCTTCGAAAGTAGATTGCGATAAGGACGATGGAGCCTTTGAACGAGCAAAAAGGGAAAACTGGCCCGCGAAGGAACCGCCGCACCGTTATTCGCAAAATCAGTACCAATTAGCACCAGTACCATCATCCCGCTTCGAACGATGATAAGCAGCACTGGTGTAGCCAGTACCCGCGTTAACACCTTTAGAAGCAGAACGAAGCCTAACGCCGAAGACTATGATATTAGTCAGATTCTTGAATCAAAATCCTCCATGGCCAGCGTCACAATAAACACCTAACGCACAGGAGTGGGGAGTTCCTTACTCGGAACAGCAGGTTTTGCAGATACTCACATCCTATCACTCCCCCCGACGGCGCGATTTGTCTCGGGCGTATCAACAGTTCCACTAGGGACGCGCTCGGCCAACTTGCGGCGAGGACCAGCAAGTGCACTTGGCTTGGCTTGTGCGTTTGGAGCAACAGCCACGTTGCCCGCGGCATGGCGGCGCGGCTTCTCTTCATCCTCTGCGTTCGCGTTGCCGGTGGCCTGAGCGATAGCCTGAGCGTTCTTCTGATACTTGTACACAGTCCAGTCGAAGACATAGTCGTACTGGAATGACTCTCTGACGAACAAATCGCGGAAGATCTTCCTGAGGTAGGAGTAATCTGGCTTGTCATCGAAACGGAGGGACCGGGTGTAATTCAAGTAGACGGAGAATTCATTAGGGAATCCACGGCAGAGGACCTCGGTGGGGGTGGTCATCTTTTTCTCCATGATGCGGTCGTACTTTTGCTTCTTTGTAGCAGCCTTCAGTCCTTGCCATGGGAGGGATCCGCGGCAGAAATAGAGCATGACATAGCCAAGGGATTCCATATCATCACGGCGAGACTGCTCGACTCCGAGATGGGTGTTGATACTGGCATAGCGGGCAGTACCAGTCAGGTTTTTGTTCTCACGGTATGGGATATGGAAATGGGTCTTCGGGTCACGATATTTCTTGGCCAATCCGAAATCAATCACATTGACTTGGTTTCCACGCTTGCCAATGCCCATCAGGAAGTTGTCCGGTTTGATATCACGGTGGATAAAGGATTTTGCGTGGATGTATTCGATCCGGGAAATGAGCTGGTCAGCCAGAAGAAGGACGGTTTTCAGCGAGAACTTGCGGTTGCAGAAGTTGAAGAGATCCTCCAAGCTAGGCCCAAGGAGATCAATGACCATGGCATTGTAGTCACATTCAGTGCCGAACCAGCGAACGAAGGGAATCCCGACACCTCCAGCGAGAGATTTGTAGACACGGGCCTCATATTCAAGTTGAGGATGTTTGGCCTTGACACTCTCAAGTTTGATGGCAATCTCCTCACCAGAGATGATGTTGGTGCCTATATTCGAAATAAGAATGTATTTCCACCAGGCTAGGGTCCATGATTACGTACCGAGATAGATATCACCGAAACTACCGCTGCCTATCTTGCGGCCAATGCGGTATTTATTACCGACCCTGAGGTCCTTTGGAGGCGTCAGCATGGGGCCGTATATAGTGGGTAGTTGTAGGAAGATGAGGAGAATCAGGGAAATCTAAAACGAGATTCCAAGAGCCCAGTTATAGTGGTCTTACCATGGTAGTCATTTTGACAGATTCAAATGCAGCTTGACGCTGACTTTATCCTTTCGAATTCGAGAGGGGTTGTGGGGTTCGGTAGTTGACGAGGCTACGGAAGGTGCAGATTGAGGCGGGTTACTGCGAGTGGAAGAGGGCGTGGGAGGGGTTGAAACAGAGAATTAAGGTGGAGGAGTTGGATCTAGTAGTGAAAGAATGGTTAGTATGAACAAATGTGAATGAACAGGGACTGGTCAAAGGTGAAGACTGTTGGGGGAGACTGGTGACAGTGACAAAACGCGTGCTGACGACCCCGCAAACACGACATGGCAGGCCAGAAAGCACTCCAAGAACTGGCTGACAAGCAACTTAAATAGGCATTAAGAAATGATTCAACTCACAATTGTAGATCAAAGAGCAGTGGGATAGAGGGGGGAAGTGTTGCAAGGAAACCGCTGAGCCTCACAGGCGAAGAAATGAGGCAGAAGGGCTGGCGATGGCTGCAAAAAGCCGGTGGGCTGGGTGAAGAGCACAGCAGAGGGAAAAGAAGCTGGTGAAGACAAGAAGCCTCCAAGGAAAAGCCCTTCGGGATAGAAGTGCAGAGGATGCGGATGGAGGAAGAAGGCAAGACAGACGACGTTGATGTCGGTGAGGGATGAGTTGGCGTGAGGTGGTCACTGGGTTTGGGCCCCTTTGGGTTTAGCGCCGTAATAATACCGCCCGGCTGACCGTCATTTCGCAGCGTCCCGTACGCTCAGCCTCAGTTTCGGGAGGCAAAATACCAGGGAGAAGAATTTTCCATGCCAAAAGGCGCGTATTGCTGGTATTTTATCTGTATTCTCTCTGTATTTCCAGCCCCCCCTGTTTACATTCCTTTCAAGATACACTGGCCAGCTCTACAAAGCTTCCACATGGCAGTTTTACATGGAAAGCAACAAAACTACTCCAGGCCCGGCTTGCACAGCAGCAGGAGGCGCCGCGCCCCAAAGAATGCATCAATCAGGGTGAGGGGCCAGTGATGAATAAGAAGTGCAGTCGCCAACAACAAGCAGAGCCCAATCAGACGAATACGCCAGGCCGTCCCCAGTACCGTAACTGCCATACCGTACACAAGGCAAGGCGGAAGCTGCCTTTTCGCCTTTGTGGCCGCGCTCGTCTGGGAAATCCCGAACATCCTGCGCTGGCTCTCAGAGATTACAGGGCCGCAACGGGGAAATCGTGCTGGAAAGGGCATGTCCGAGGTTCCTCCTCCCGTTCTCCTGCTCGAATCAGCGTGCTAGATGCCCCCCTCGTATCGCATTGGTACCGGTATTACCCACGCAAGGCTGCCCTTCATCGCTGCCCAACTGCCAAACGCCAGCCTGGGCGAGACCCAACCTCCCCCCGGAGCCAAATGGGTATGCGACAAGTTTTGTTGATGCCATGGCACTCTGTTGCAAGGTTCGGCTCCGGTTCCGTTGACGGCTGCGGTTATAAATAGTAGCAATTGCGAACCATGTGCGGGAAAAAGCAACCTCGAATTGAATTTCGGCCATCGTTCGAGATTCCCCCAACCATGTCGTTCCAGCTGGCTCTTCCCTTCACGGCAACAACCGGATTTTGCCTGGCAGGTAACAGGAATATCTGCCCTCCGCTGAGTTGGCGAAATCCCATCAAGGACATGTCTTCTATCGCCATTGGGGAATGCGGCCCCCGCAGATGGCTGTTGTGCTGGATGCAGAGTGAATTAGGAATGTCGGAGTACCCCGCCCGCATGCCATGGGATTTTGAGGCGCCAAAAGGATAAGGGCATCCCACCTCGCTATCCAATAGAGAACGGCCAACCCCATGCACCAGTGACATAATCCCGGTTTTTTCTAGAAGAACGCTTGGTGCTTCCCCAACCAAACTGCGCGGCCAGGCAATCCTCAGTTCTGCATCATCATTCTTCATGACCCGTTGGGGACATCAATTGTCAGATTCGTGGCTTCCCGATTTTCCCGCAACAAAACCAAAGAATTAACTAGAAGTGACCTCATGAATTATCTCATTTTGATGGCCGTGATAAGAGCGCTGAGGTGTCGAAATCCGCCACTAGGGAGGACAGGTTGCGGCTCCTGTGTCAGAATCTCCGGAATTCATGCCGGCCACCGGGTCATCTACAAGAAACGATATCCTCATGCGTGCGTATCGGAGTTCCTTTGGTTATTAATCATTTGACCGCTATTTCTTTTCCATTTCTTCCCGGGCATAACGTCATTGCCACTTCTTTTCATACTGTGTTTTACGGATATCTTCGGCGATCTTATGGTAAAAATACTATCCAACAAACAACCTTTCCCCAATCAGCAAAGCAATTCAATCAGCCCACTCCCGTTTAGCTCCCATATAAGATTCATAGGGACAATCAATACCTTACATGAAGCACCCGATTCGAATGTTAGTCTACACTCTCTCTCATTACATGAAATAGACAGAATATTGTTCCAAATATGACAAATCACGGACGTCACGACAAGATCCGGACCCATTAACCATTGCTGGGCCGGCGGCATTGATGGCGGAAATCCGGGGTTTTACATGGATGGAGTTGTTTGACGAATCATACAAGAGTGCAAGCAGGATATCTGGCACATGGTTTACCCGGCCATTTCCATCTGACTAGGGTAAATAAGAGGACTAGATTTCTAGCAGCTGGGGGCAAACTTTTCTGCAGGAGATCTTTTGAGGCATATCTAGTAGGATGGCAATCTAGTTCGGAGATATTATCCCCGCGCTAGATGTGGCCGGTTTTTTTGGATATGGCTGAAAGGGTTTGTAACATTATCGGTATCCTGAATTAGACACACATCAATTCCAATGCATTCTGTGTCAAGTTCTAGTGCTATGTAGGTCTAAGGGTGGAAGCTTGAGGTCGGCTTTCGAGGTAACTGCCTAGCTTGGGTTGATTGAGAAAATATATATCCCCAACATTGAGGTGGTATTGTACAGGACATTGCCAACGATGAAAGAACCCCTAAGTATTCAAGTATTATTTAGCCGATCTTAACATACCCGAACAGTTCTGCCATCACATCCATCGCTCTAGTAATTTGTCCTTGTCTAAAATAATAATAATAATACACGCTCTGGAGTCTCAGAGCTGCCAAAGTTCCCAAGCTACGACGTCATCCCGAAAGGGCGATCTGTAACGAGCCGATGAGGGCCCGTCAACTAGCACAGGACTAGAAAAAAGGAAGAATTCCACCCAAACTACCACACAAAAAATAAATCCGAAAATTTAGCTAGGAAACAAAAAAAGAAGAATTGAAGATAGATAATAATTGCCACAAACAGGACTCGAACCTGTGATCTCCGCATATCATACTCTTGGTACAAGTGCGGCGCCTTAACCGCTTGGCCACTGCGGCTGATTATTGATGGTCTGTGGCGGCTTTACGGATACTTTTTGTAAACTCGATTCCGAACAGAGATAACCCCCCTTTCAAACTAGATGAGAATTGGGGTAACCAACCACTTGGAGTCGACAAAGATCATGCTATTAATAGGATTCCGATAGATCTCAAGGGCTCCCAGAGCTGCAATTGGAGGCAATGCTTTGCCGGAATTTGAACAAAACCGGCCCCCATAAACCAACCAAACCAATAACCGACAAAGCGATGCATAATTTCGAATGGCAGGGAATAACTGAATCTTGACGTAGTGATGAGAGAAAGAAATGAAGCATCTGGCTGCTGTTGGCATGATCTCGTCAAGGCCATATATTGCTGTTGAATAAAAAGCGGCGATCTATTACGCGTGAGAATTTCGCGCTACCGACATTTTATGCAGTTTAGTGCGCCACATCGCAATCAATCCACCCCATCCCTCCTCCACGCCCAGCAACCCAGCACCCAGCATCCCCTCCCCGCCCTTGCTGGGTCAGCAATCCAAAGCAGAAGCGCTACTGGGCAAATACACGAGCGGCTGCCATGCGCTTAGCAGCTAGCGCAGCGTCCAATGTCCCGATCTAGCTGTCCTCTTCTCGTGGCTGACGCCCATGTGGCCGTGACATCAGCCTCGCAACCGTGGAACCATGGGCTTCATGCAGCGGCGATCGCGCTTTCGAGTGGCCGCTGTGTGCTTGGTCCTGCTTTTTTATTTCTATTATCCCAACGTCCCGGCGCCGTCGAATAGTGCTTATGATATTAATACGGCATCGCGAGCACCGCCCGCGCCGCCAGCGCCGCCGGCTGGCAATGCGGCGTTGTGTCATGATCCATCGCCCACATACACCCCATACAACCACAATCGGTTCAAGTGGAGGGAAATCCCGACAAAGTACCCCGTTGATTCATACATTAAGCTGCCCACTGAGAGACCATCTAAATTACCTCCAATTCAATATCCCTTTAAACAGCCGGCAGATGAACGGGCTGCGTTGCAAGCCCAGCGCCAGGCTGAGGTGAAGAAGGTCTTCTTGCGGGGCTGGAGCTCCTATAAAAAACAGGCATGGCTCAAAGACGAGCTTGCGCCAAAATCTGGAAAATCGAAAAACACTTTTGGTGGCTGGGGTGCCACGCTCGTTGACAGTCTCGACACCCTTTGGATTATGGACCTGAAGGATGAATTTGAAGAAGCCGTCGGAGCCGCGGTCTCGATTGACTTTGACCCCGCAGGCGCAAGCTTGGAGACTATCAATATTTTCGAAACAACTATCAGATACCTGGGCGGATTTCTGTCTGCCTATGACCTCACCGAATGCAAGGATAAAAGACTGCTTGACAAGGCAGTCGAGCTTGGAGATATGGTGTATGCCTCCTTTGACACCAAAAACCGCATGCCCGTTACGCGCTGGAGCCCGCAAAAGGCCGTCAAAGGAGTCGAGCAGTTCGCAGCGGACAACGGAATCATCGCTGAGGTGGCTTCCTCAAGCATGGAGCTTACCCGTCTGTCGCAGCTGACGGGAGACATGCGCTGGTTCGACGCTATCCAGCGCATCACCGACGTAATGGAGAAGCAGCAAAACAAAACCAACATCCCTGGTCTGTGGCCAGTAGGTTGCAGTCCCCTTCACGCCGACTTCACCACCGGTTCGGCCTTTAGTTTGGGATCAATGGCCGACTCGGCATACGAGTATCTCCCCAAAATGTACGCACTGCTCGGGGGCACCGAAAAATCATCTCAATATGGCAACCTATACAAAACCGCCATGGACACCGCCATGAAATACCTCTTCTTCCGACCTCTCGTCCCCGATAACGCCGACATCCTTATCTCCGGCACATCCCACGCCAACCCCCGTTCAACCCCTACTCTCAACGGCGAAGGCCAGCATCTCACCTGCTACCTAGGCGGCACGCTCGCACTAGGCGGCCGCCTCCTCTCCAACGAAACCCACATCGAAATCGGCCGCAAGCTGACCGAAGGCTGCATCTGGACCTACCGCAACACCCCCTCAGGCCTCATGCCCGAGATCTTCCGCATGGCTCCCTGCACCTCCTCCTCAGACTGCAAATACGACGAGGACCAATGGCGCTCCGACCACGGCAAAACCCACCCGGGCTTCACATACATCAACGACGGGCACTACAAACTCCGCCCCGAAGCCATCGAGAGCGTCTTCTACCTCTACCGCATCACCGGCGATCCGAAATTCCAGGACGCGGCGTGGGAAATGTTCCAGGCGATCGAGGAGCATACGCGGACGGAGCTGGCGAATGCGGCGCTGCGGAACGTGTTTCAGGTGGAGTTGGGGAGGGAGGATAGTATGGAGAGCTTCTGGTTTGGGGAGACGCTGAAGTATTTTTATTTGATTTTTAGTGAGCCCGGTTTGATTAGTTTGGATGAGTTTGTGCTGAATACGGAGGCGCATCCGTTTAGGATTCCGAGGTCGTGGTGATGGAGGGAGATATGTGGTTTTGGTTTGGTTTGGAGCTCTGTTCTGATTGTAATTATATAGAGCTATTTTTCTGTTCTGTTCAGTTTTCTCTTTTTTTTTTTCCTGGTCGGTTTCTTATTATCATTTCCACTGGGATATGTATTGGCTGCAAATGAATGACTTGTTTGAATAAAAAATGCAAAAAGAAAAGAAAAAGAAAACCCCTCGAGGACATACATACATACATCCTGACAATTTGACAACATCATCCCCCGCCAGGCTCCGTAGAGACCTTTTAAATTTGACAACATCATCCCCCGCCAGGCTCCGTAGAGACCTTTTAAATTTCTCTCGAATAATATCCCTGAGGGAACCTGGAGGAAGAAACATGAAACGAAACAAAGCAAGGGAGCCAACCAATGCCTGCCTTTTGTACATACATACATACAATGCAGCGACCGGTTGGTTGGTGGTTGCGTAGTTATGACCCCTAACAAGTGGCGTAACTAGTTACGGATGTGGAAGCGTTGCGCAATGTTCCTCAAACAGAAGCGCACATGTTTCACGATGGCCAGGAGGTGTAGGCGTTGGGGGAGAAGTTACTATTACCACTATACTATGAAGCTGGCAGGCGGTTTCGACGGGATGCGCGCTGTTTGGATTGTGAATATATATCAGAAAGGCTTACCAGCCAACCCCACCAAGCCAACAGTGTCTAGCACCAGCACCATTCTATACCAACAATTTTTTTTCTTCTGTTGGACTGTAGAGTCCGTGTCCGCTGACATTGATGGCTCATTAGTTAACTTTGATTAGGTTCAGAATCCTTGGGGAGATGAAACTGCCATGGCTTGGTTTGTATCTCTATTTTGCTACTATGGCTCTTACTAAGGGGTGACATCGATGGGCATATGTCAAATTTTTTTAGCTGCTGCTCTTTATAGCTCCTCTAAGGTTAAATTGGCCTACTAAAAAGAGATATTAATCCCAAGAACTTCCTGGATTTCCTTTCCTGCATAATAAGTAGGGTTGAAGAGTTTGGTTTAATGGGAGATATTGTATTTTCGTTCCGCCGTCGAAACTTTCATATATCATGGGACCGGGGGACCATAGAAAGCAAGTTTCTGGGAGTCTGGGGAACAGCCCGGCAGATCAAAATGGCAGAAAGGGAATTTACATTGTGTGTATGGTGTGATTGTTTGTGCCCCGCGCTGTGTGGGGGGTTTATTGGGGGGGTATAGTTACTAGTAGTGGGAACTCTGGGGAATATGGACTCCATAACTTGGAGTCACGTCCGCAATCCCCGCGGAGCATATTGTGTGTTTTGACCTGGGTTAGTCAAGTACTGATTTCACAAAAGAAGAAAAATAAAAGCAAAGAATGAGGTAATAGGATATCTCAAGCTCCTACAGGCTACCAGAGTGGATTTTGAAAAGGCGGCGATAGCCGAACAGGGAGATGCAGGCGAAGGATGGGCTGGTGGGCAGGGGAACACGAGCTCCAACTTCCGGGCAAAAGGACTAAAACTTATCTAGAACATGGGAGTGGGGATTTGAGTAGCATCGCTCCAGCTCTGTATCCGTATTAGTTTGTGGCCTCGAGCAAGCACGTGGATGCTGCTGGGCGGAGTGCTGACGGAGGCAACACCTCAGTATTTGCCACAGGTCTCTCGGCCATAACATCCATAGAACAACAGATAACTTTGGGGGAAGGGGGTATGGGAGTCTTCTCTGGGTGATGCTCACCAGCCAACTCCCGAGGTTGGTCGTTCCTTCCCACAGCTTGGAAGGCTGGAAGGTTTGGTGGGTTAATAAGCGCCGGAGGAATGGCCGGCACGCCAAGGCGCTAAACATAGCTTATCCCCACCAATCAAACCTTAACTGTCCCCAAACTGCGGGGGAAAGCACGACCAGCTCGCGCGAGCCGCAGCTTCTAGCCGACCCGGCCACATCTTCGGCATCTCAGTCCAATCCGTTGCCTTCAAACTTCTTGGCCGTCGAGCTATGCAGCCTGCACGATGTTGACTAACACGAGATTCAGCTTGCCGGTCCAAGATCCAGAATTCTTCCGAGGTCCAATGTTGTCATCCAGGCCGGGCTGGGGTCGCACAGCTCAGGCGGACCGGTTTTCGTATATAGGCCGGGACCCCTGCCGCTGGGTTGCTATTACTCTTTTTAATTGTTACTTTATTTTTCATCCCAAGTTCCTCCAGTTCACGCTACAGGCCTCCATTGTGTCGGCAAGATGGATGAGAAGGTGTCCACAACCCATGACTCGGAGGGGGTTGGAGAGATGACGGACTTCAGTCACATCGACGAGAAGAAGACCTTGCGCAAGATGGATCTTCATCTTATTCCCATTGTGTCGCTCCTCTATCTGCTCGCCTTTCTTGATCGGGGTAACATTGGAAATGCGAAGATAGAAGGACTGACAGACGAGCTCGGCTTGACTGGGGCTCAGTACAACTGGTGCTGTATGACTGTCGCTTTCCATTTCAATTTGCATAATCTGATTTCAAAGCTAAAACCAATATTTGTGATATATAGTAAC